GTTTAAAGGTTCAGGTTGTGAAATGGTAGGGAGAGAAAAAGCTCAGGACGAAAAGGGCTGGTGGCCCAAAGCCATTCAGCCTTATTTTGGGTGAGATCTTTCCACGTCATTGGAAGTTGCCCAATCATGCTAAAGAGAACAGAGCTAGCTACAAAAAAGGCAGTTCCCTGGGTTTCTTAGAACTCTGTAACTTTTGTAAATGAGCAAGTTTCCATCATCTACTATCTCAGCCTTTTTTATTATTACTTTTTTTAAATTTCATTTTACATTCCAACCAAAGTCCTCCCTCCGACCCCTCCTCCTGTCCCCTCACCTCTCCCCTAGCCCACCTCCCATCCACTCTTCCTAGCAGGTAAGAGTTCCTATAGGGAGTTGACAAAGCCTGGCACATTAAGTTGGGGCAGGATCAAGCCCCTACCTGATGTGTTAAGGATGAGCATGGCATCTCACCATAGATAATGGGCTCCAACAAGCTAGCACACACATCAGGGATAGATCCTGGTCCTACTGCCAGTGGCCCCTCAGAAAGCCCAAGCTTCACAACTGTCTCCCACATACAAAGGGTCTAGTTCAGTCCCCTGGAGTCTCCACAGTTGTGGGTTCAGAGGTCATGAGTTCCCACGAGCTTGGTTCAGCTGTCTCTGTAGACTTCTCCATCACGATCTTGACCTCCCTTGCTCATGTGTTCTTCCTCCCTCTCTTTGCCTGGATTCCCAGAGCTCAGCCTGGTGCTTCATTGTGGATCTCTGCATCTGGCTTCATTGATTACTGGATGGAGGCTCTATGGCAATAGTTGATGATAATAGTTGGGGTAGTCACCAATCTGATTACAGTGAAGCCCAGTTCAGGAACCCTGTCCATGATTGCTAGGAGTCTTAACCGTGGTCATCCTTGTGGATTCTTGGGAATTTCCCTAGCTCTAGGTTTCTCCCTAACCCCAAAGTGTCTCTCTCTATCAAGCTATTTCTTTCCTTGCCAGGATTTTATATTTAGAGTTTTTTCAGGAAGATACAATTCAATGCTCAGATTTGGACTAAGTCAGCCCTGTGTCTCATGTCTAGACTACAGTGAACATTACACTCTCACATTCCTCAATAGCTATAGAAAGTCTATGCAGAAAGTGACCTAAGTGGAATTGGAGGGGAATACAATATTAATAGCTCCTAAACAGGTTGTAGTGTAAATATCATCTTCTACACTAAACCTTTCTATGGAGGCAAGAAGTATGCATTACTGAAGAGATAATTTTCTCCAAATGACAAGATGTCTTTTTTTGATTAATAGAAGTATAATAGAAGGGCACCGAATATCTGATTTGCACATACAAAGAAAAAAGTGAGAAAGTTGGGATCAGAATGGTTACAAATCCTGCTGCCTCTGGAAGGATGGCAATTTAAAAATAAACACGGTTATATAGCAACTGGAGCAAAACACAAGTTGAAGACAGACAAAGAGCAGAGACCTGTGAAAGGAAGGAAAGGGGATTCCATGAAGATGGAGAATGCTGGGTTTGTGATGAACCATTACAGGGACATCTTGGTGTGGTGAAGGATTCAGCTGGCAACTCAATTCATTCCTGGTGACCAGGCCAATGGGTGTAATTAAGCAACAAACTAATCTTTTTATGTTTCTTCAGGACAGCCACCACTCCCTTCTCACTGCAGTGGGTCCTCTCTCCGGGACACTGAGCGTTGTGACCCAGATGAGCAATGAGAGTGGAGAATGCTTCCCCTTTCTGCTTTGTAGCAGTTACAATTCTGACTTTAGTCCTAAGACACATTTCAGATTTTTAAACAAGCAACCCCATCCTTTCCCAAACCCCATGCTTTGACAATCAGTTATAAAGGCAAGTCTCAGCACTCAGGGCTCTAGTGCTACGGTGCAGCAGCAAAAGCTTCATTTCCTAGTCACATAATCACATAAGCTTTGATTCTACACACACACACACACACACACACACACACACACACACACACACACACCTGATGACAGAGGTTTTACAAGCACTTATCTGTAAATATTGTTTCCTCAGACTTTTAGAAAATTTGTGCCATGTATTAAAATCAATTGTTAGGAAACTTCATGGTTTCATCTGTATCTTTTTTTTAAGCTTCTGCATGTTTATTTGGGACTGAATGGCTGCAGGACTGAGTTGGACAGAAACTTCCATCAGCAGCCTGGCAAAGGCCTGCTGTCCTATGGTCTCCCTTTGCCTCACTGTATAACAGGACCAGTTGGTGACTTCCCAAACTTTAACTCATAAAGAAACCTGGAACTTGCCAAAGGGTACATTCCAGGGTCTTGCCTTGTAAGATGACCAGTCAGTCTGGACCAGTACCCTGGAAATATTGCTAGCCCATTACATAATAAATGAACAAAATCTTGACCTCTTCCCTCCAACCTCTCAATTCTGAGGGACTCTGGTCTTCCTTCTGCCTCACTGTCTTCTTTTTTCTTTTATTTTCTTATTTTATTTTCCAGTTTAAATTTAGATAAGAAACAAGGTTGCTTCACAAGTCAGTTCCAGGTCCCTCTCCCTTTCCCTCCCCTCCTCCCGTGCCCTTCCCCAACCCCCCCCCCCCGTTATCCCCTCATTCCCCCAGGGAGGGTGAGGCCCTCCATGGGGGTGTCCATAGTTTATCATTTCATATTGGGCAGGGCCTAGACCCTTCCCCAAGAGATCAGGGTGAGAGTGCACCTCACATTGTTCTATGGGAGTCCAAAGTCCGTGTGTATACTTGGGATGGGTACTGATCTGCTGCCCAAGGCTCAATAGATTACCTAGGCCTCCTCACTGACACCCAGATTCAGGGGGTCTTGATCACAAAGAAGCAAACTCCCCCAGGAGGAGTAGACGCCAGGAAATAATCAAATTGAGGGCTGAAATCAATAAAGTAGAAACCAGGAAAACAATACAAAGAATCAATGCAACGAAGAGTTGGTTCTTTGAGAAAATCAACAAGATAGACAAACCTTTGTCCAAACTTACCAAACAACAGAGAGTGAACATGCAAATTAACAAAATCAGAAATGAAAAGGGGGACATAACAACAGACTCTGAGGAAATCCAGAGAATCATTAGGTCATACTTTGAAAACCTGTACTCCACAAAATTCGAAAATTTAAAGGAAATGGATGACTTCCTGGATAGCTGTCACTTACCAAAACTAAATCAAGAACAGATAAGCAATTTAAATAGACCTATAACCCCTATGGAAATAGAAGCAGTCATCAAAAGTCTCCCAACCAAAAGAAGTTCAGGTCCAGATGGCCTCAGTGCAGAATTCTACCAGAAATTCAAAGAACAGCTTATACCAATTCTTCTCAAACTGTTCCACACAATAGAAGCAGAAGGATCTTTGCCAAACTCTTTCTACGAGGCTTCAATAACCTTGATCCCCAAGCCACACAAAGATACAACTAAGAAAGAGAACTTCAGACCAATATCCCTCATGAACATTGATGCAAAAATACTCAATAAAATACTGGCAAATCGGGTCCAAGATCACATCAAAACAATCATTCACCACGATCAAGTACGTTTCATCCCAGGGATGCAGGGATGGTTCAACATACGAAAATTCATCTATATCTTTACTTTGGAATTGAACTATTATTATATAGTATCTAAACCTGGACTATAGTTTAATTATATGCAGTGCTTCTTAAGGACTAATAAGGTAATTTGTCAAACTTAAAAACAAAAACAGAACAGCGAAAAAGAAAACAAAACAAAAACAGACTGGGCAATCTGTCTTTTATTAGAGACATGGTGCTGATTGTATTAGTCTACTACTTTATTTTTCAAGAATTTATTCTAAGGAGTTTTTCAAGAGCTCCTTTTCCATCTTGTCATGCTTATGTGTAAGCTGATTATATAACCTATCTTGTTGCCTTTTATTTTCTCCTGTTTTTTTTTGACAATTGGTATTTAGGTAAAGTTATCTCTTCTTTTGGGGTACCTGTTCTCTATCAGAGTGACATAGTATGGCGGTAGCCAGAACTCAATATAGTAATTTTGCTTGTTTTGCTGTTATGCTACATATTCAACACAGGTTGTCTTGGAGGAACTCACAGCAATCCCAGGCTTGTTACTAGGATTACTAAGATGGGAGACCTAAATATTGAGCAGAAATTCTAGAACCAGCTAGAGTGTAATACCCTAGTGTTTAGACATATCTGCATAATTTATGTTCACACAATGTCTATTGATAGGTTTTAAACCTTGAATAATTTTGTGGACCACTCTTTAAACTCTACTGCTGCATTCTGTGGTTGTCTCTAGAAGCTATGGCAGATACTCAAGGGATGATAAAGGAGACAAAGTGCCTGACTTCAGCCCATTTATAGTTTCAAGAACATCTAGTACAATAATAAAAATCATACCATGTTAAACACCACAGATAATTGTAAAACTTTAAACTAGTGAAAGGTTTATCACAGTGACAATGGGTTGGGTTTTTTTCTGATTCCTTCTTAATAATATTGTTTTCAAAGTTCATCAATGCATTACTAAATGAGAGGTCTGCATTATGTAAGAGTCAACATTTCAGAGTTTCAAATGCTCCCAGCACACTCATTCTATAGATGACACCATGACAACTAACAACCATCTATGAAGTCAGTACCACTCTTTTGTGTAAAAGAAGAGGAAGCTGACACTAATGGTCACTATGATTACCCATGCTTGCAGTTAAAATGCAGTTAATCTGGGACTTCAGGTGAAATCCGCTTACAACTGTTCTGTTGATCACTGAGCAACCATGCAGGTTCTGATATTTGAAGAACTGTCTTTGAGTTATACTTACTTTTCCTGTGTGGAGTTCAGACTTCTTATTTGTCCATTAAGTCTTTCAAGTCCAGAAATTTCACAATACATTTTCACATTTACCTTTGTTAATAAAGCTGAATCCCAGAGGCCAGAGTTAGGAGAACATTTTTTAAAGAAAAGCCTTCCCTTCCCTCTTTTTTGAATATGATTTGTTTCTTTTCCTCCCTAGGTCTCTACAGAAGAAGGCATGAATCTTGCTCGAGAATACAACTGTGCCTTCTTTGAGACCTCTGCAGCCCTCCGATTCGGTATTGATGATGCTTTTCAAGGCTTAGTGAGAGAAATTCGCAGGAAGGAATCCATGCCGTCCTTGATAGAAAAGAAATTAAAGAGGAAGGACAGCCTGTGGAAGAAGATAAAAGGCTCGCTGAAGAAGAAAAGAGAAAACATGACATGATACTCTGCTTCTTGGTCCTTCCTTCCCATCTCTGGATTTTTATCAAATCTCATATTCTCTCTCTCTCTCTCTCTCTCTCTCTCTCTCTCTCTCTCTCTCTCTCTCTCTCTCTCTCTCTCTCTCTCTCTCCCCATATCTACCTGCAGGCAAAAATTAGACTTGTATAACTGTGTGTATTAGATAGTTTTATTTTGTCTTTAACAGCTGCATAGATTTTGCCAATCAGCTGGATAAAGCTATTTAGATTTTACAACATATTACCAAATAAAATTAACATTCCAATTGCCTCATTTTTCCTGTAAAGAGTGGCTTCATTTCGTATGCTGTCTGGCTATAAAGAAAATATGCAAACTTGTAGCTGGGATGATAAAAGGCTTAGGGAATCTGCTTTTGCCTGATAACTCTGGTTGTTTGCATTTCAGAAATCTGTAAATAATGGAGAGGCTGGACGAGTTCAAAGCAAAAGACCAAGTCCTAGTCTTCTCTTAAGTGGTATTTCGTCTTGAGTCCTTTATAGATGACCGTTAGAGAAATTACTGATAATATAAACTGATGGCTCATTAAAGGTCAAAAATTACATGTGCCCATATTCACAGTGCTCAGGTTGCCATACACATTTAAAGAATCATCACAGAGAATTTACTATGATGGAAAACATGTGGGAAGACAAGAGTACTATGAACTTGGTGATACATATGTCCACAAAAGGAACCTTCAGCCCTCTCAATGAATTCCTCACAGGATTGCCTCACCTGCGTAGTTGCCATCTGTCTTCAGGGATGTGACCTCTGCAAGCTGAATGTTCTATTCCTATTATTAAATTCCCTGTCTCATTTTCCATGAAATGCATTGAGAAGCTATCATCGGAAGTGGTGTTGTTATTTGTCTTACAATGGTTCGTTGTGTAAAATAAAATCTCCTATTTACCCATTTTCCCCTTGTGTAAATTAGTTTGTTTAAACCCAAGCTCAGAAAGCAACCACTGGAAAGAATGATAATGGGCAATTGTTAAGAGAAAAACTGAAAAGCTAAGCCTAAAATGGAATCTGTCAAAACAATTTTCATGGATTGAGGGCAGTTTTATCATAAATTAAGGAGCAGCAGGGTTGAGGGACAAGGATCTTATTCACTCAATCTCTTTCTCTTCGCTGGCTCACAATGCTACTGGAACTGGCTAAGTGCTGAGATTGGAGAAATGAATTATTCAGACATGGACCCTGACTTCCTGTAGCTTAACATTTACCTGGCAGATTCACTCCACTGAAATAATACTGGAATCATAAATTCTTGTAAAGGAAAAAGACACATTTCATGTGTATTGATACTAGGGAAATACAGGTTAGGGGTTGTCAATTCCTAGCTGTTGAAAATAAAACTCAACTTTTCAGAATATTATATTTTGGGGTCATTTTGTACCTTAGACTAGGATTTCTTTCTTAGGGGTAAGAAGTTGGTGATCTTTTGGTGTAATAACTGCCACTGAATCCCTTTGAGTTATTCTCAAGCCACATCCTTTATACAGTTCTCTTCATCCTGAAATTCAAATAAAACCAAAAATACTACACATTTATCTTCTAAAGCATACATCATTAAAAGGTATGTCCATAAAAGGATTAAAAAGAAGACAAAAGTTAAGATTTCATGAAGACTATAAGTCATTGTAAATCTAAATTTATTCTTGACACATAAAAATGACACATGTTAGTAAAGTTCTATGCAATGAAGGATTCTTATAGAATCCATCTTTGCTTTCTCCTCCTTTGGTTTTGAACAGCTAATTTTTCTCTTTTATTCTGTTAAATTGGTTCATTCACCTCCAGCATGTCCTTTGTGTCCTGAGCCTGAGCCTTAGGCCCCTCTGTCTATCTTCTGTTTGCAAGAAAATGCAATTTAGAAAACAATTGGCACTATTTTCTCCATGACCAGTCTGTCTTTTGGTAAGCCTAGAGATTTCCATGTCCATGTGTTATACTTGACACATTTTCTATACAACCAAGTACTTAGAAGCTTTATTTTTCCTTTGATTTTTAAGTACTCTGTTGTTGCCTCTAAAGGTCTTATTTCATTCGACTTTAACTCCTTCTTATTCACTGTAACCCTTGAGTAAATAATTGTGTCACTTAAATTATTTGTATATAATTAACAATTTATGCTAAATTACTTTAAGTGTTTAGAAATTCTCTGTGGAAATTGGGTTAGAGAATAGTTTCCCTCTACAGCTACTTTGATATAACAAGAACGAATTTGCCAAAATTTCAGCCTCAGGCTAAAAGTATCCAGGAGAGTTATTACCAGCCAGAGAAGAGTTGTGCCTCAAGCACAGCTTTAACTCAGTTTTCCCTCTATAAGCCTGGAAATCAGAAGGAGACATTTCATGAGTCCAGGTATTTCTACTCAAGGGCTATTGACTTATTCCAGCTGGTGTAAGGTTGAAATATCAGGATTTCTGTCTCTAACCATAGACTTGTAACTACACCTGGGTCATCTCCTGAAATTCGTGAAGATGAGAAATCTACAATGTGCCTGTGTTACTCTGTAACACTCTATTTCTAGTGTTTCTGGCATTTTCTCACCTGGGATTCCAAGCTTTTCCCAGACAATCTGAACACTTCTTTAGGTACAGGAGTGAGCAGCCTCGCTCCCCATTACCCATTTTCTCTATATCAGAGTTTCCAGAAAAGTATAGTGAATAGGATATAATTTATATAATATATAATTTATAATATAATTTATATTAAATTGGCTTACATGATTACAGAGAATACAATTTCTAGAATATGCATATACATGCTGGAGAGCCAGCAAGTCATTAACAACTTAATTCAAAAAGATAGAATCTTTGGAAAGGGAAAGAGACCAATGATGTCATCTCTACCTGAGGCCAACCTCCCCTCTCCCAGAAGGCCATGGTCACAAGCCCTGTTTTATAATATGGTCTCATTGATAAAGGTCTTTACTATTAAATTCCTGACTGCATTAGCCTTGCATTACTATAAAATATTTGTGATAATTTACAAAGGGAAAGTAGTCTCACTTCTGCATACATTTCAGATGTTCAAGTGCATAATTGGTTAGTTGTGAGGTGTTTTGATCTGTCAGAACAGCAGCACATGGTGAAACAAAGCCACTTACCTCATGGGCTGGGTAGGAAAGAGGAAGATGAAGGAGATGGGATCACCATTTTTTTTTTGTTTGTTTTACAGAGGTCTCACCTCTTAAGTGCTCCATCATTTCCCAATAAATCTAAAGGGTTTGGATAAGGCCTTCAACCAGCAGACCTTTGGTATGTTTCTGCAAACCAGCGTGCTGAACCACTCGCTGGTCTTCTCTGAAAACATGCTAGGGAGATTTCCAGAAGTGTGCTTTATTCACTGTCTACTCAGTCAGTTCAGACAAGCTGACCTTCAAAACCCGTCTTCACAATTGGGCCTATCATCTGACTTAACGGCTCCTTTTAAAAACTGCGCAGAGGAACCTGACGCAGCAAGGACAAGGGAAGTGTAAAATTTGAGGGTGAGGAAGGGCAGGAGAATTTCTAAAGGGATTACATGGAATCTCACCATTAAAGCAGGAGATAGCAAGAAAGGCAAAGATAATTTACTTCTCTGGTCTGCACCCAACCACTCTTATTCTTCAGTCAGGCTTGCCTCCGGCCCATCACTCGAAATAAACATTTCCCTTCAAGACCTCTGACTGCAACCATTCATTTTTACACAATAAAGTCTTTAAATCAAACCCTTACATGAGTGTGAATGACTATGTCAGTGTGTTTTAACCATTTGCTCAAAAGTGTTTCATAGTAATTAATTCCATTCAGTAAACATAAAGATTAATTAGACAAATATACTGTGTGGAAAAGCTTCAGTAAGGAAGTCTCCTTCTACAGACGAGGAAGTATGTTCAGAGGAGACACAAGCTCCACACATGATAGACCAGACAGGACTTCTGTATTGTGTTCTGATTATCCTTGCCCTGCCCTACACTACTTCTTAGGAGGCCACCAGTTACTTTGGAGTCATCCTCATTTGATGTTTAATTTCCCCTCAAATATGAGGCAGAAAAAGAGATGATATGACAATGCCAGTTTCATTAGATGAAAAATTCTAGCCCCAACTTTTGCTAGAATGATGTTAGGCTATTGTTATAGCATCCAGTTTTAGTAAAAAATGTGCTTGAAAAAAAAAACAGAGACATTTCCTGTCACACCTAGCATGCCAATGACGATCACAATAAAGATTTATTCTGTAGCTCAACTATGTTGAAATTGGGGAATTTTCTAGCTTTCTCTGGAGATGCAATTTAAACAAGTTAATAAATAAACTTAAAAATATCTTTTCTTGAATAGACCCACAGTGACTCTTTAAAGTACTTTGCATGGTAGGCTACTTACTTCATGGTAGCGAGTATAAAAATGGACAGTCCAGTTTGCCAAAGAAGTTTAAATGTATCATTGGTAGGAAATACAGAAAATATACTATATTATTCCGCATGGAAGAGGAAAGGGAAACATAAAAGCATATTCAGTGGAATATTGTCATGAAGCTTGCAGTTGGAGCAGAAGTACTACGAGTTATAGGTCCAGCATCTTAGCTAGTGCCACAGATGAAGCATGGGCGGTAAAACTAGGGGGTCAGGGATGGTCTTCACCAGCTTACACACCAATACACTACTGTATAAAATGATGTCAGGGACAGGGCGTTCTCTGAACAATTTGAGTTGACCTGTGGCATGCATTGTGCACTTTATTTCATTGTACATACTCTGATATTATTGTAGGCTAGTAAGAAAAGCCACTGTTAATTGTAGGGTAATGATATGAGTTAGTTTGTCCTTTCAACTCTCTCTGGAAGAAAAATAGTGCTGAAGCAGTACATACATGGCTGCAAAAGTCATACTAAAAACAATAAATGACTGTCAAATTCACAAGCAGCTACCTCATGCAGATAATTCAACATTCGTTTATTCATGTGCTTATCAACTTACTCAATATTTCTGAACCCCTGTTGTGAATATGACATACTACTCAGCATTGTTAACTAATCTGAGCAATGAGACTAACTGCTTTGTGCTTACTCAAATATTTTTCTGATCAGTGACCATTTCAAGACCTGAATTAAGTCCTAGGGGACACAATTTCTGCTAAAGAGCTCAGTTTTGACACATAACTCCTGGAGTTACTGCTGATTCACCGAGAAAGAAAACCTCGAAGTGGAGTCATCATGTTCAAATTCACCTCATATCTTGTGGTTCCAAGGAGAGTTGTGGGATGTCAATATTGTCAGTTTTGGAGAACTCAACTCAGAGGTGTCTATATTGTCCATATTAGGAAAATTCAGATGAGGAGACCACTGTAATTTCCTGAATAGTAGTGGTTTAGATGGTGTAAGAATGTAGAACACCCCTTTATTTACCAAGAGGACAGAGGAAAGGTTCAGATGTTTCCTCAACAATGACATTCTAGGCACTAGCCCTGTGGCAGGCACGTACATGGCAAATTGGGGGTGTAGTAAATAAATAGGTCTGTGGTATATTGAAAGAGAAGGTGGATTTAGAATTGGGCCCGCGTGTCCGTTAAAGTTGTAGTTAGATCATGGTCTCTATCATGAGAGAAATGAGACTGCAGAAGGGCTTGGTGGAGGGGTGAAGGGACACATACTTGCTTCATGAAATGGCAGCTGTGGGTGGAAAGAGGAGATGACAAAGTGTCACGACTCTGCCATAGCTTCTTATCAGTCACCTACCAAATTCATAGTTACTCAGGGTCAAGTGAACATATTGAAAGAATTGGTTTCTCTCTGGAGAAAAGTTTCACTGTAGTTTCCACAGTGATAGTCACATACCTGGCCTCCTCTTTACAGACAATTTCATGAGGCCCTACCCTGAGCATATCAAATCAGTTGTTCAGAGCAAAAGTTTCGCCAGAATCCACCAGT